ACACCTTGCTGGAAGAATTGTTTATTTCCATTCCTTTTATTTACTCACTTCTATTGTATTTGTTATTTATTTTTTATTACTATTCATGTCTGTTGTTATATGAGGTGAAGCACTGTTTTATGAGAATCAAATTACACTCATATTTTATTATTGGTTTAAATATTATTAAAACAGCAGCTCATCGGTTGAGTTTTTTATATTTAATTTGCCAATACAGAAGTGCGTAGTTTTTATGCTCGCACGAGCGTGTACTTGTTATATGATTATTGCCTCACTGATAGGCAGCACTGATAGGTGGCACTGATGGGTGACACTGATGGGCGGTGCTGACTGGTGGCACTGACTGACGGCACCGACTGATGGCACTGCTGGGCACTGATGGACACAACTGCTGGGCAGCACTGCTGTGTGGCACAACTCGGTACTGCTGGGAGGCACTGCTGGGCACTGGTGGGTGGCACTGCTGGGCGGCACTGCTGGGCATTGATCACCAGAGTACTGATCATCAGTGCCCTGATTAGTGCAGATGTCCTCTGTGTCATTTGCCGGTTATCGGCAGTACTTTCCTCACGCTGTGACAGCACGAGGAAAGTGTTGCCGATAACCAGCAACTGTATATACACTGTGAACTGCTGTGTCCAGAGAGCTGCCCATCATCTGAGGTGGCTCAGCAAGAAGAGGTACTGCCAGATGCAGCAGAGGTCCTGGGTGCTGGTCTAGGCCCTGACCTTATTTGCAAGGGGGGCAGTTATTTTAGGTTCAATTACTATTGGATACGGCTTGGGTTTTAGTGACTGGTTCAGTAATTTTTTTAATGAGGCTAGAGTCATAGTGACTGGATTGCTTTTTCAATTATTTAAATTGATTATACTTTGATGATTTTTAGTAAAGTTTTTTTATTTACCAATTTTAAACCAACATTAAAGGGCCACAGCTAGTTCTATTGCCAATATGCTCTATGTGTGTGTTTTTTGTTTTTTTTGTTGAGTGTTAGGTTTATTACCTGCTTACTGCTTACAATCCCATTATATATGTGTGTTGTCCTTGTATCCTATAGTTACAACCAATTGCTTTTCTCTGTTTCCTCTTTTTGATTTTAAAGGAATTCCTATAGATAATGCTGGATCTACAAATAGGTTTCTTTGCTCTTTAGAGACTAGTCATGATACAGAACATTAAGAAAAATAAAATGATAACATCTTTATTACAATGTCATATAAAAGTATAAACTTTAACTTCAGCCTACCCATTGGCTCCCTCATTATTTGGCCCGTTTCTTGGCATATAGATATCCCTCTATCATTACAGTAAATATGGTGTACATGCAGAGAATGCAAGTGATTCTGGGAGTTTAATATAGAAGTGGATTATTAAGCCTGGGTTCACATATATGCGGTGCGGTAAATCTCATGTTATTCACACTGGAACCGCACTGCATTCCTGTGCAAATCACATGTGATTTGTATGCGGTGCGATTGGAGCCAAACATTTTGCATGGCTCTATTCGCATCGCACCCACACCAGAAAGGTGCACGACCCTTTTTTGGTCCGCACTAGAATCGGATTGCATGAGTATTCACACCTATGTGATCCGATTCTGCACATCGCACCATGTTTTGCGGACCGCTTTCGGGGTGTTGTTGACATACACACCCACAGCAGTTCACATGAACGGGGTGTGATTCTGATGCGGTGCGGAATTCTCACTGAAAACATTGCAAATTCCGCACCGCATTAGTGTGAACCAGGGCTCAAGGTGAGCTTGATTACTATAACCAACCCCCCCATTTTGGAAATTTATATCCTGATTTGTAATACAATGCTGAGGTATTTTGTCTACCTTTTTAGGCTTGGTTATCTGCCCAACTACGTATAAACCCCCAAGTGGGTTGGTTCCTGTTGAAATTGCGTCTTTCCTACCCGATTGGTGTACATAGTATGTAAGTTCTTCATATGGTTAGGACACAGACCCTAGGTAAATGTTGTAACCTATGGTACAATTCAGTAGCTATTGATGCTTTGGGGTTGATTTACTAAAGGCAAATATAATGCGCACTGCAAGTGCAGTTGCTCCAGAGCTTAGTAAATGAGGTAAAGCTTCATTTTGCAAAGAATACCCAATCACAAGGAAGGAAAATTAAAAAAACAGCATTTTTGCTTGCACATGATTGATTGATGGAAATTAGTAGAGCTTCCCCTCATTTCAGAGCTTCCCCTCAGATCTAGACACTTGCAGTGCACAGTGTATTTGCCTTTAGTAAATCAACCCCATTGTGTTGTTGTCTACCAACCTTAGATGTGCCCTCACATCCGTTTGGGTACCTGTAGCCCCCGCTGGCCCCTTGGCTCCCGCTCAGTCTGGTATATGTATATTCATTTGTAATGCTATATGTATACTTAACATTATATGTTGGGGTTTGTAATTGTACCCTATTATTGTATACATGAATGTATGTTTTTTGCTATGTTCAGAGGCACCGCAAAGCTCCTGAGGAAGCCACCAAGCTGCAAACATGTAGAGCCACAGCGATCTGGAACTTGGGACCCCCATGTGTTGTATAATCAACTCTGCATCTTGATTTAGAAATTAAGTTTGTTAATTAGGGGGCACCCATAAATTCCATTTTGTATTGGTGCATTTTTTTATTGTATCAGGTTCTTGTTACATTTTAACTTTTCTATGACATTGTAATAAAGATGTAATAATTTTATCCAGTTGTATATGTGCCTAAAAAGCCCATGATATACTTTTTATTTCTTAATGTTCTGTATCAATTGATGGGAAGTGGCAGATGACTATATACATGCATCCACAGGTCCACTCTGTTGGTACACGTTACAATATTTTGAGAGTCTAGTCATGATTTTGGCTTCGAAGTGTCTGCCAGGATGAGAAAGTGAAAGGCCATACAGTGTTGTGGTGTCACCATGCCCCACTACTGGTAACTGTAGCAACGTCTGGTAGATGATAATGCATAGGTGTGGAGCGGAGTCTACTTTCATTCTGGCAATGATCTGAACGCAGTTCTCTTTATTAACCCTTCGACAATTTGCAGAGGAGTCCTGGCACATCTCAGCAGAGAAAGGCTGTGCTTCCCACACTGGAACTTTCATGTTCATTTACTTATGTAAGCAACTTTAGTCAAGATAAACGTATAGTCCTTTATGCAGAAAATGACGTCTGTTGTCATGTATTAGCTCTGCAGTGTACCCTTAGGGTTTTGTTCCCTTCATGTTCCTAACATGAGCTTTACTGCAATGCACCCTAATGCCAGGTTCACATCTGTGCGGCCATGTCGATCGTGATTTGCATGGGCGCGAGAGCCCATTCATTCGAATGGAGTCCCATGCCCCGGGATATGCAGGGAAAAAGTCCCTGCCCTCACAGGTCTTATACATCTTGACCCCGTATCTTGCACACTTGCAGGGGGAAATTGTTTGAATGCAAGGTGGCCAGAAAAATTAATGAGGGACTCATCAACACAGATTTTTTGCTGGGGAGTATAGACATCTGCAAATTATCGGTTAAGGTGATTTGCAAGGGGCTGAATTTTGTGGAGCCGGTCAAATTCAAGGTCACCTCAAGGACGACACAGTGTATTGTTGTTGAAATGCATACAACACATTATACTCTCATATCTATGCCTGGCCATGGCAGCAGAGAACACGGCATATCATGAATCGGGTCTGCGGACCAATACAACCGCAATTCATTTTTGTTAGTAATGCCCATGTTGAGGGTTAGGCCCCCAAAAAAATTTAAATTTGGAAACCGTAATGAGTTTCCATGCGAATGGTCTGGCAAGGTTTGAATTTGGGTTGGCGGCGATAAATTGTTGTGCATATAAAATGATTTGATCAAATCAATGCATACAGATCCAAAAAAATCGAGGGGAGTAGTTAAATTTGCTGTTTCCAACTGAATTCCGGGTTGGGCAGTGAATGGGGGAAGTACAGGTGCTGCAGAATTTGTGGGCTGCCAATCGGGATTTGCAAGCACATCTGGAAGCATACTAGGGGCTCTACGGGCCTGTGTGCAAATTCTTTGTGGTTGCGGGACAATATTGTGCTCGCCACCGCACCAGCATGTACTGCACTTATGGGACTTGCCACGTCACCAAGTGATACTGCAGTGCTGGTATGTGAAAAACCAGGATGTACTGGGCCATTGGTGTCGCCAGTTCACCAAAAGGTAGAGCGGCACTAGTACTGGCACTCTGCTGCATATGAGAGTCATCAAAATTTACCGGCAAGTGCTAAAAGAGATCAGGCCTGATTCTGCAAACACTGTGGTTTTGTGTGCAATGTATCAAGTGACAGTGACCTACTGACTCTGCACTTGCTGAGGGAGAAGGGGGGGTAAGGGGCTAAACACAGGTGCTTTCAGGTGCCGAGCTGATCCCGCTAATGCTGTGTTTTTGGAGACACTATACTAATGTGAACGCTGGTATAGTGCTGATCTGATCAAAGATATTGATCCGTTCAGACACTATACTAGCATTGGAGGTTTATTGTGTATGAGCGTGTTCCTGGCAATCAAGGGGTTAACTGTGATTACTGGTGTACTGACAGGCAATCTGACGCTATCTGAGAGGGGTGTGAAAACCACGGGAGTGCCAATCATGTATGTATACGTGATTTTGCGCACCCGTGCCACCCTGTAGCAGTATTTCTGCTATAGGGCAGTCAGGAAGCGGTTAAAGAAGGGGTTTGCGTAACTGTGCTGCATTACTTTAACTGACAATTGTGCTGTCATGCAACGCTGCACCCAAATGAAATTTACTCCCTTTTTTTCCCACAAATTGAGCTTTCTTTCGGTGGTATTTAATCACCTGTGCGTTTTTTATTTTTTTCTGCTATAAAAAAAAAGTCCCACCATTTTGAGAAAAAAATAATATTTTGGACTTTTTCCTATAAAACATTTCCAGTAAAAAAATGTAAACATCAAATTTCGGCATAAATTTAGGCCAAAATGTATTCTGCGACATGTCTTTGTTAAAAAAAATCCCAGTATGTGTAAAATAATTGGTTTACGTGAAAGTTATAGCATTTACAAATAGCGGTATAGATACTATTATACTAATAATGGCGGCGATCAGCGACTTTGGTGACAATCAGGGACCTATAGTGGGACTGCGGTGGGCATTCTGACCCTGGGGGGGACTGACTTGGTGCCACTGACATCCCCAGTGACACAAATACAGTGATCAGTGCTAAAAAAAAAAGCACTGACACTGTACTAATGGCACTGGGCAGGAAGGGTTTAACATGAGGGGCAATCAAAGGGTTAACTGTGTGATGGGAGTGTTTTACTGGGGGGCGGGGGGTGTGTGCTTCACTGTAATCAGCCATCCAGAGCAGTGTGCCCAAACTGACAGGGAGGAGGGCTGTTGGTAAACAATGCAGCCCTCCTCCCTGTCAGTGATCGCCAGTAATCACCGGGTGCCGGCGGGCAATCACTGGCCAGGACCCGGTGATTGACACCTGCGGCCATGAATGGTGGCGCAGGTAGAGTGCGCATGTGCCCCCTACCTGGAAATCGAAATCACGTATATAAACGTGATTTTGCGCACCTGTGCCGCCATGTAGCAGTATATCTGCTGTAAGGCGTTTGGTAAGTAGTTAAAGCGTAAGTTCACAATCGGCTTCCATGCATTATTGTCAAAGCGTAACTGAACAAGCTGAAGTTAGAAGCTGAATGGCTGCCATGCACGGCTGCACCAGATTCTGAGTGCACCAGTTTTAGTAAATCCCCTCTAAGTAGACCTGCAGAAAATGTTTGCAGATGCTGCCTCCTAATGGCAGACAGTAAAAATGTTAGACAAAGTACTTTCAGGCTTTCTCCTATCACAGCCAATCAAAGGACATAAATGAGATGTAACCAATTTAAAAGTTCAGTATCCTGGCCTTTCACTGACCTGGAACAAATATGTAAACATTGAAGTATGCAGCATAGCTGTCCTGTGTAAATGGCTCACTAAATAGTCAATCCAAGATGAGGATAACGTGGAGTTTGTAACTTTATAAAGACAACATCACATCAAAACACCCAGTGTTGGAGCTTACAGGGATCAGTGACGTCACCCTTCCAGCATGTGACAATGCTCAGACCTTGCGAATGCCACTGCAATTATTACCTGCGATTGAAAGGGCCGGTGCTAGACTTTTGTGTGTCCTAGGCAAGACCAGCTACTTGCACCCCCCTGCCCCCCCCCCAAAAAAAATAAACATATAAAAAAGTAAAACATTTTAAAAACAGTAGAAAATATTAAAAACAAAACATGAAACATATATTTCTTTTAAGTGGTTGTAAACCTCATACATGAAATATGAACAAAGCATATCCCTCTATAGTGTGCGCTTGTCTCAATCAAGAGCACTAAGTGTCATTTCTGTCCGCTGCCTTGTTCCTCTGCTATAAGCACAAGTCACTGACGAGTTTTCCTGACACCAAAAGAAAAATGGTGAAAGGGGAGGGAACAGCCTGTGATTGACAGTCTCAGCTCTGTTCCTGTGTGAAAAAGGGTGTGTCCCTTCCTTCCAGTCAGATCTCAAAGCTCTCCTCACTGATGTAACATCAGCTCCATGCCCCTTTCTTTTCAGAGCTGAGAGATCCTGTGTAAATGCTGCACTCTGAATGGATGTAGGAGGAAGACAGCTGTATATACGCAGAACATACATGGGATGATTTATTTAATCTCTGTGTATCACCTGAGACCAGTCATTTTAGAATCACTGTTAGGGCTTGTTCACACTTGACTTCTTCCCAAACGCCCCTAAAGCGTCAGACAGGCGTATGGTGTTTTTTACGCTCCTCAAATGCTCCCCAAACACCCTATGCGTGTTTTTGAGGCATTTCATAGGTGTTTGACAAGCATTAAAACCGTGCCACAAACGCCTATAATGAAGTTAATGGTATTAACGCTCCACAAATGCCCCGCAAACGCCTGCCAGGCATTTGAGGAGCATCTTCATAGACTTGAATGGGAAGCGTTGAAAGACTTCAACTCCTCTTGATTCGATATGAGGCGTCAATTGCGACACAACGCTAGGGCTTCAGTGTGAACAGCACTGTGTGCTGCCATGTGTATAATTTTCATAGGCATTTGACGAGCGTTAAAAACACCCCTCAAACACCTGCATAAAGCCTGCTTACAAAGCTAGTGTGAACTTAGTTTTAGGGCCCCAGGTTACCATGCTCCTCCTGGAAGTACAGATTGCCTCTCTCTTTCGCCCTTCCATTCTGGATTTCCTCATTAACCACATGCCGCCCAGCCACTGTAGAAAAATGGCAGCAGGGCGGCACGGCTGGGCAAAACCACGTTTAAAAACGTGTGATTTCACAGGTAGGGGGCACGCGCGAGGCGCACCGCCGCCCTACCTGTCCCGCTGATCATGGCAGCGGATGTCAGCCGCTTGGTCACAGCCGGTCATTACCGGCTATGTCCCAGCGATTAGCGGCAATCACTGACAGAGAGCAGGGCTGCAGTAGCTGTGCTTTCTGTCAGTTCCCTGACAGCTCCTGACACGCTGATCGGGACAGAAGAGTTTATCTGTCCGGATCAGTGTGTCTCCGTGCAATACACACCCCCCGCCTCCTAGTAAAACACTCCCCTCACACAGTTAACCCTTTCACTGAATAATAAAGTTAACCCCTTCCTCCCCAGTGCCGTTTAGTACAGTGTCAGTGTTTTTTTTTTTGCACTGATCACTGTATTGGTGTCACTGGGGATGTCAGTGGCAGTCCCGCAGTCCCGCCATAAGTCGCTGATCGCCACCATAAGTCACTGATCACCGCCGTAAGTCGCTGATCGCCGCCATTATTAGTATAAAAAAAATTAAAAATCCCAGTATCTTTCCCGCCATTTGTAAATGCTATAACTTTCACGTAAACCAATTAATTTACACGTATTGGGTTTTTGTTTATCAAAGACATGTCGCAGAATGCATTTTGGCAGAAATTTATGACTAAATTTGATTTTGAAATTTTTTTTTACTGGACATGTTTTATAGCAAAAAGTCCAAAATATAGTTTTTTTTCTTCAAAATTGTCGGCCTTTTTTTTTTTTATAGCGCAAAAAATTAAAAACGCACAGGCGATCAAATACCACCGAAAGAAAGCTCAATTTGTGGTAAAAAAAAGGATGTAAATTTCATTTATGTACCATATTATTATTATTATTATACAGTATTTATAAAGCGCCAATAGTTCGCTCAGCGCTGTACATTACAAAGGGGGACAGAACATGTGACAGAACAATACCAATACAATGTGATACACAAGGGGTTCGAGGGCCCTGCTCTTTCAAGCTTACAATCTAGGAATTGCATGACCGTGCAATTGTCCGTTAATCTAGCACAGCGCTGTATAGCAAAAAAATGGCATAAATTGCAGTATCTATACCATAGTTTGTAGACGCTATAACTTTCACACAAAGCAATCAATATACACTTATTGGGATTTTTTTTTTACCAAAAACATGTAGCAGAATACATTTTGGCCTAAATTTATAACTAACTTTGAGTTTACTATATATTTTTTATAGCTGAAAGTAAAAAATATTGTTTTTCTTCAAAATTTTTGGTCTTTTTTTGTTTATAGCATGAAAAATAAAAAGTGCACAGGTGATCAAATACCACCGAAAGAAAGGTCTATTTGTGTGAAAAAAAGGATGTAAATTTTGTTAGGAAGCAGCATTGCATGACCGCGCAATTATCAGTTGAATTAGTGCAGTGCCGAGTAGCAAAAAGAGGCCTGGTCATTAAGGGGGGTAAATCCTCAGGAGGGCAAGTGGTTAATAATCCTCTACTACTAGATACCGAAAACTATTTTACACCCTTCACCTCCGACCACAAATAACAGCCTCATTCTGCTACAGCCTTTGTGTCCTTGGTGTGAGATTTCACAGGCCTCTCCCCTCACCTACATCAGTTGTGAAATCTCGCTCCCATTGGATACACTGGGGGGACAAAGATAAGGAGCAAAGTGAACTTGGTGCCCCTAACAACCAGACTGTGAAGAGAAGAAGATGGCAGACTGGCTTCCAGTGAAACTTCTTCATCTTTCCAACAGCTTTAATAAACTCACACTCTGTCATTGCTGACACAGGAGGAGGGGTGTACCAAAATGAGGAGAAAAGTGAGATGTTACCCCTGCAACCAGACTTAAATCTGATTGGTTGCTTGGGGTAAGTACACTCAGGTGGTTTATTTTCAGGAATCATGTCATGAAGGCAATTTATTAACCTCTTCCCGTCCGGCGCATGCCGATAAACTGCTGGACAGGAGCGCTGCTGATGCAGGTGGACGTTTCTAAACGTCCCCCGCATCCATTTCCTGTGTGTGCTTCCTGGGAGCGCACAGCACCGCAAAATTTCGGGCAATAAAATACAACACCAAAAACATAGCTTCCAATTCCGAAAAACCACCCCCTGTACTGTGAACCAGATTAAACCACTCATCCCGCACCCCGGAATAAGCAGACCACGTAACCTCGCTCCCCGAACAATGAATCAGCGCAGCCATCACTCCAAGGCAACCTTCCACAGCCAAGCCGGACAAGGAACCCCCAGTTGTGCCGCTCCCGGAGCCAATGAGTGAAACTTGTCCCACTGAAACCGAGAAAGAGCATCAGCCAAGGAATTAGTACAACCAGGTACATGAAAAGCATAGACAAGACAGTTTAAACTAAGACAGGACAAAACCAACTGCCGAAGCATACGAACCACCGGAGGAGGAGAGGACGCCGTAACATTGGTAATCACTCCCACCATCACAATTGAGACGAAGCTTCTTATCACGAAAAAGTGAACCCCACAAAACCACCAACAAAACAATCGGGAAAAGTTGCAAAAGAACCAAATTGCGCGTCAAACCCGCCTTCCTCCAGTCCACAGGCTATGGGCCGACACTCCACTGACCATCAAAAGCACCATAGCCAGCACCATAGCCAGCCGACCCCGCCCCATCCATGAAACAAAGGCTCCAAATCAGAACTACTCAAAATACATTGCCTCGGACATGTCCTTGGGTGTGTGAGAGTGTGTCTGTGTGTGTATACATATGTCCTTGTGTGTGTGTACACATATGAGTGTGTCTGTGTGTTTGTGTGGTGTGTACAAGTGTCCTTGTGTGAGAGTGTGTCCGTGTGTGTACATGTGTCTGTACATGTGTGTGTATACACGTATGAGTGTGTCTGTATGTTTGTGTGCACAAGTGTCCTTGTGTGAGAGTGTATCCATGTGTGTACATGTGTCTGTAAGTGTGTGTATACATGT